GACCTTGACCTGAGGTCAAATTTTCAAGTTGACCTTTCAAGGTCAAATTATAGTTCTTTCGATGCGTCTTGACGAGAGGAACACGATGCCGGTAAAAGTAAGCTCGTACAATGCTTGGGTCAAAAGTTATTGCAGAAAAACTGTTTCCGAAAAAATCGGCTATTTTTGTAGTTTTTGCCCCCTGCAGGCAAAACCGTTGACGTTAGGTCAAATCTGAGAAAATTACTCAGAAAGGGCGTTAATAGGGCTATCGAATGCGCTTTTCCGCGGCGCTGTAGCTCTATTAGTTCCCGAGTTATGCGTTGGCTTCTTGGAAATTTTCGACATTCGACCTGGAAATCGGCGAAAATTTGCCTTCAATGACCTCTGGTGACCTGACCTTTGACCTGACCAAAAAATTGACCGAAGTAATTTCCTCATTATTTTTGACGCTCTTTCGAACGCCGCCTTCCGCGTATCGCTACGTGGCCCAGGAGCCGAGTTAGAAGGGGGGTGTTCAAACACCCCCCAGCAGGGCGTGGAAATCCAGGACCCCCAGCCGGGCGCGGGTTAAAAAGGGTATGATATTGTCTTCGGCTGTTCTCTGCAAAGACAAACTCGGCGACAGGCACTGATGCCATGGTGTCACCGATAACACGAAATGCTGCGGATGAATGAATGTTACGCGGAGCAATAAAACAAAACATTGGCAGAGGAGCACGACTGCCGGGGTTTTACGTGCTCACAGCTGCAGGCGAAGAGAAAGGATGTGAAGGAGCCCTTCGGATGGACAGGCGACAGATCGGTCTGAGGTGCACGACGTTAGACGTAAGGTGATGCAGCTGGTGCCATCGTACGCTCACAGTCAGACAGATGTCTGTATTATGGGGTCACAGGCTCACTCCTTCCTCACTGTAGTCACGAACATACTTTGACAGCCGTCGTGGTGGCCAAGGAAGGCACGACTTACAAGATGTGCCAAACATGAGCGTCGGGAAATCATGAGTGACACTAGCCAGAGCTGCACAAGAAGCGATGGCTTATATAGGCTCTTTACGTTCACAACATTGTCACTTTGCAAAGACAGCTACCCGAGTCGATCCTGCTATGGTAATGCGTTACGAAGCATGGCATAGTGAGAACGGACAGACTATTTCACGTGCTCGACGTCCGTGTCCACAATAGCGCGCCCAAAGGTCACACCACGGCTTCTGTGTGAGGCGAAGTCTGCATTCGTGCTGTGGCTCAAAGACATAGTTAATAGCCGTTTTCACGACGGGTTATCTGGCGAATGCACCAGACTTGACCAAATTTGCACCAACTCTCTTTTACAACAAATACCTTCATATCGTAACTTGATTTCAGTGTTTTTTTTTTTTTTATAAAAATAACGTCTGATAGCTTTGAAAAGGGAAAAAACCTGGGGAATGGGCAAATGAGCAACCAGGGCTGATAACATTTTTAGATACATCATGCACCTAATTTAACCAAACCTACACCAAATCTGCACAAAATATAAGCCAAATGTGTACCTGATAGCCGTCGTAAACACGCTCAATCATATAACTCAATACCGTAGATAAACAAATAGGCCAAATAGGTTTCTGATTTCTCTGCATCAAGATCTAGTTATGAATATCAAGTTAAACGATTAGACTTGATCATTGCTCATTGAGCTGCAATTTGAAATTACGTGGCAAGGCCAAAACAGGTGATATATCCATGGACAAGCCTTGCAGTTATTATTATTACAATCATTATTGTCGCATTTAGGAAAAACATTTGGATTTACTTGAGCCTGCCACGGGAGCTAAAAATAAACTGTTTCCACACTGACATAATGGCCGTCATAAGTCATACGAAAAAGGCGATGATCTAAACTGGCTGTCAGCTTTGCTCATAATTCCATCCCATAAACAGAGGAATTCGACTGGTGATGAATGGCATTTGGGGACATTTCAGCAGATGTCAGCCCAAAATGAGGCTGGCGAAAATGATATATTGGATATGAGATCACACATGCTGCAGTGTCTGATATCATGTCCGATAGGCAGGTTTTCAGTTGCGGTACATGTAAAATTGCTAACGTCTTATGGCCCAAATTATACCTAAGCCATGAGGTGACTGCAGCGCTCAGTATCGCATGGCAATGATGGTAGGCATGCATCATGCGCGATAAACATTTGTCTTGTAAATAGACCGATCGCTTTCAATTGTCGACCATCAAAAGTCAAGAGCCATTCTTTCCCTCTGTTTGTAGTTAAAAAAGAAAAAAAAACTATTCGACTACTCCTTGAGTTGAACTATCATACAAGTATAAAAAAGATTGACCATTTTTCTTTATCTTAGCTGAACAATAATGCACTTTACAGTAGCTATACCTTTTTATCCAATCGGAAATCGAGTTCAGTAGGCTGGCCATTTGTGCACAGTTCAGTCGATGTTCTTATAAGGTATAGGGACAGGCCCAGTCTGGCGCCGCGCTGTCGTTATCCGTGAGCAATCCCTGCATACCGCTGTGCCGGTCGAATAGGCGCATTATCACCTGACATAGCATTCAGAGCCGCACGCGATGTAACATGTCCGGCGTAGATCTATTTTAGCTCGTGCCTCGGTCTTATGGTGAAGTTTACTCAACTTTCCACTGGATTTATGATTGTGCGAGATAAGACCAACCATTTTCTCTCCTCTCCCCTCTATTCCCTCCCCTCTCTTCTTTCATCTCCTCTCCTCTTCCTTCCTCTACTTCCACTTACTCCGTTCCTTCTCCATGTTCTCCCTCTTGTTGCGGTCTGTCTTCTGTCACCTTCCAAATCAAGCGCCGCTGAGATATCCGTTAGCAACGCCTCTCACTTGAGAATTGGAACTTTGAAAATTTTGAGATTCATAGGCTAAAGCATCTAATACAATTTTCTGTATCCAATGCTGATATCACTCTATAAGTACAAAAGTGGCAGTCGCCTGTTATGCTCATCACTAACAATATCACAAATTTGTAGCAAAAATAGCCATCAGATAAACAAAATCGTTTGACTAAGCCATGCCTGGTTTGGAGATCATGCATCCAGAGAACGACATGAGAAAGGGCAATCAGTATCTGCATTATCCTTTGGCTATTATGATAAATGTCGAGACATCAGTCTCAGTCGATTCAGCGGCCTCTTGGCCCTTTCTCTTTTTGCTCACGATGTCCTGTATTGCTCACCGCTGCTCTGCACAATCGGATTACAGAGGGCAAGAGGCAGAGCGCGGAGCATTTCGCAATGCGCTAACGTTTTATCAGCGCTGCGTGGTGACGCATGAAGTGACGTCACGCAGGGGCGGGGCAGGGAAAAGTTGATTGATCCAGGAGTACTACGGGTAAAATAAAACAGGTCTCTTGGATAGCTGAAATCTGAATGGTACGATTCCTACAATTGACAACAAAATGTGCACCACTTCAGACATTTGCATGAATTGTGCGTCAAAGCAAAACATACATACATATATGCTGCTCCATCTTCTGGCGAGTCTTGTCCCAGCTGTGGGAAAATATTTGTTTAAAAATACTCGCCTTCATGTTTTTTCTTTGTTTGTTTAAAAATAAGCTTATTGCATTTTGTAGGAATGCCATTATCCCTATCAATAGAATTAAATAATTAGCACTTAATTGAAGTGGAAATTGTTACTTCTATTTTTCCAAGCTGCCAGCATTAGCCATCTCATGGATGTCTAAGGCTGAAACGTGTAATGTGAATCCTCTTACGGCAATTTTTATTTATAACATCCTCCGCAGCCTCACCCATTCTCCCTACCAGAACCCGCTTCTAAATCCACCTGCACTTAAAAATGTCTGCGGTTTCGCGCCTTAGCTGCATTTGACACTGCATTGCAGACTTCCTGTTGAATGATGACCCGCCAAAGAGCCAAATTATGTCAGCAATTAATAACCTCCCCCGAATTGGCAGTGTCACTTTATTGGCCGCGTGAGGCCTGGGCTAGGGTGGTCCGGGCGGGCAGGTGTCACTTAATGTCCACAGATGTCACTGGTGTCATCAGATGACACTGGAGACAGCAGACGTGCAGCTGGGCCGGGCCCGGCAGAACAGCTTCTGGACAGGGCAAAACCCGCTCTCATGTACCCATCCACCTGTATCCAAAGCTACCCGGGCGGCTGACGGCACCAAACTGGCTGGACTTTTTGTGAAGCGATGAGAAA